CTGTGAGGTGGGCCCTGATGGAGTGAGGAGGAAGTGTCAGTCTCAGCGCTTGGAATGTCTGACCAACTGGATCTGTGGGATGCTGCATTTCACCGTCCTCGATGGGCAGGAGTTTGAGCTTAGCTGTCTGAGTTCAGACATCCTGGAGATTGGACGGAAAGCTTTCCGCTTCACCTGGAGATTGGCACGGGGTATCATTTCCACTGACGATGAGCTCTTCAGACCCTTCAGAGCTGAATCCTATTTTTTGAGGTTTAAACCTGTCCAGGAGTATGATTCTGGGACATACCGCTGTGATGTGCAGCTGCTAAAAAACTTGAGGTTTGTGAAGAGGCTCTATTTTGGGCTGAGGGTCCTTCCTCCAAAGTTGGTGAACTTGAATTTCTCTCAATCTCTTACCGAGGAACAGAAGTTAGTAGATGAGGGCTTGGAGGTTAATCTGGACAACCATTCCAAGCCTTTCCGGCCAAAGTGGCAAAAGAAGGTGACATTGGCCTTGGGAATAGGAATTACTGGTGGAGTGGTTGGTGGTATTTTGGTGAGCATTGTCCTCTGCGGTATGTGGAGGGGGACTGATGGCACTTGGAGCCACAAGAGCTTACAAGCCTTGCTCCCAAAGGACTGCCACCCAGAAACCCAGGCTAGCTCTTCAGGGAATGCTCTGGGTGTCAGGTAGTGAATCAGCTAGGAGGGAGGCTCCCACTGCCAAAAGGTTGGGTGAGGGGTGTGGAAGGAGCAGCTTCTTGCTAGCTGTGGGCAACCATCACCAGCTGCTTTGTGTCCCACGTGGGTCTCTGCTCCACATCTCCCTGGCTCTAAGTTCTCAGGAGACTGCAGGCAACCTCCTGTTCCTGGGAAGAGTTCTGTCTTCCAAACTTGCATTCTCTCTAACCTCTGTGCTTTCCCATCTCCATCTCCCCTCTCTTGAGCAGCGTACTCATAGTGAAAACATTTTTTCCTCTTCAATAGAAGTAATTTATATGGAAACCTAGCATTTTTCTTTCTTGCATTTGTTTAAATGGTCCCATAATCAGCCTGGCTTCAGTTTCCCTTGGATTTCTTAATAGTAGACAATGGACAAATTGCTTTGTTGAGGGCCCATGCCCATAGGTGGCAGAAGTTGTTAGTAATGACACCTGACTCAGGTGTGTAATAATCCCTAAATGTTACCTGCCCTCTCTGCCCTCCCCAGGTGAACCCTCTATGTTCAATGTTAAATTAAATTTCCTTGCAAAACAGAGATACTTCACCTGATCATTGAAGCAGTTCTGTGGCTTGCTCCCTGCTCCTTTATTTTTGCTTACTCAGTGCCCTGAAGTTTGTGCTCCTGGAAAGATCAATGTATGGGTCTCTGATAGTAGCCAAAGCTCCCATGGGAGGACTCGCACCTTATTCCTCTGTACGAGATCCAGTGTTAAGACTCTTGGGGACCATTGAGACTATCCAAAATAATTGGGTTATGGAACTGTCAGGAACCAAAGACTGGTGGTTCTCTCTCCCTTGAGCCTTGTGTCAGAATCACCTGGATGACTTTTTGGAAAATAGATTCCTGAGCCCCAACTCTGGAGATGCTACTTCACTTTAAATTATGGTCAAAGGGTCCTTATTACTTCCTTTACTTTTAAAAATTTCAAACCCAGAGAAAAGTTAGAAGAAAGGTTTATAGTGGTCACCCATAAACCCTTTGCCTAGGGTTCATCAGTTGTTAGCTTTTTGACAACAACTGCCTAAGTTACAGATTTTATGAACCACTTGAAAGCGTCACAGACATTGTGACCCTTTATTGGAAAGTAAATCAGGTATGTATCTTAGGGACATTCTCCTGTATAACTACAATACCTCTACCACACCTAAGAAAATGAACAATTCCCAGTCTTAACATATAATTTATGTTCAGTTGCTCCAATTTTCAAAATTTTAGAGCTTTTTGATGTAATTTCTTGATCTAGGAGCTAATAAAGCTTCATGTATTGTGTTCAATATTTTCTCAAGTCTTCATTTTTCAACAGATCATATATATGCGTTTGTGTATTTTCTCATGACATTGATTTTGTAGAATTTATTACTTTGGGGTGGGTATTGGGGGTTGAACCTAGGAGTACTTTACCACCGAGGTATATCCTCAATCCCTTTATTTATTTATTTTTGGTACTAGGGATTGAACCCAAAGATATGTTACAACTGAGCTATATCCCCAGTCCTTTTTATTTTTTTATTTTGAGATAGGTCTCACTAAATTGCTGAGACTAGCCTTGAACTTGTGATCCTCCTGTATAAGCCTCCCAAGTTTCTAGGACTTCAGGTGTGCACCACCGCATAGGGCATGACATTGATTTTATTGAAGTGTCTGGCTAGTCCAATAGTATTGGGTGGTGTCCCACAATCTGGATTTGTCATTTTAACATTAGATTCACAAGAAATGAGTTTTAGACATTTTTGACAAGAGCCCTACGTAGATCCATACTTAGTATATTACATTAGGTGGCTCATGGTGTTAGATTGGCCCACGATTATTGATGATAAGCTATACATAAAAGATCAAAGCATCTTTTTTAACAGGTTTATCAATGACTATGATACGTAGTTGAGATTGACTCAGTAGCTTAGGCCCATGGATAGGGAATTGCTTTACTATTGCTGTTATTTTTAAAAGACCTTAAATTGTACACAGACCCTTAATTCTCATCTGCACACTTCAAAGGGGAGTTCAGAAGATTCAACTCTGGCCTGGGTCTGCTATGGGCTGTACTGGAGCAAGCCTAACACCTTTTGTAGGCCTTATCTTGGAAATAGGTGATTATGAGGGTGCAGTGAGGTCAACTGAAGTTTGGGAATGTTATTAATGATTCTTTTTACTGCAGTACTGTTTTACTGAAGAATTCAGGAGATAGCTTGCTGTACTTCAAAGTCGGGAAACAGCATCTTATGTAGTGAACTGCGTATTGACTTTGCTGAGGGCTGCTGCTTGCCATGTTACAGATGGAAAGACTGATACTTGGAAGAGCTAAATAGCTTCCAGCACTCAGTTGCAAACCAGCAGTCAGGTGATCCTATCCCACAGCTCTTGGTTTACTGCCCTCTGTGCCTTGGGCTCTTGAACTTTGACTTAGGATGGCAAATCCCTTGACTCAAGGGTTTGAGCAAAGAAAAGAACAAAAAACTCTCACAAGTTACCAAAGACAAACTAAATTCAGTTAATGGAGTTCTGTGCATGTAATTTGCCTCTAGAGGGTCAAGGAGAGGCTGACTGGACTAAAATTTGGGTTCCATAGTGACCTGTGCTCCCAACATCCACTTGGGGTGAAAAAGGAAGAGGTGACCTTGTTGTGTCAGACTGGTGTCTACATGGGACCTTTCTCTTGCTGAACAGGCCCTCTCCACTCACCTTGATCTCCCTTAAGAAAATTATGAGACAGGATGGACCCCTTTGTACCTGTTTTGCACTGAAAATCCAATACAGGGCTGTGTGCCGCCGCAGGCACAGCTCATCTGTCGTGGATGTTGGATCAGTGTTTGTTGAACGTGTAAGTTGTGGCTGCAAACTGAGTAGTAATCACAACCTTTGGGGGCTGCAGAGAGCAGAGGGAGCAGTCACGTGCTCCCCAGTTGGGATCTCTCTAAGGGGAAAGACCTCCCTTTGGGACCACTGAGTCAACACCTCAAATGTTTTCAAAGCCAGGGGACCTTAAAGCGGTTCCATCCACAGGTATTGTTTGCTGCCACTGTGTTAGATGAAGCCAGCCCATCTGGCAAAGTGCCTGCTGTGTTCTGTGTCACCTGCTTGAGTCCCCTGGCAGTTTTCTCCCTTCCCAGGACTGGATGAAGCGATACAGACTGCATGTTCTAACAGGATTCACTGTGATGGCTGAAGGCCCTGGATAGAGGCCTCAGGTTACCAGACAAGACAGGAGATGTGCTAGAGCCAAGTGATAATAAAAATCCACAGCCGCTGCCAGCCGACAGGTTGAGAAACCATCTTTATTTACGAACTGTCTGCTACCAGAGTCAATAAATAACTACCATACAAGAAGTATAAGAGCGGAACAGTGGGCCCGTGGGAGTGGCTCCATTTGAACAAAAGCTGTATAGTCAGTGGTCTATTAGGCCATAGCATTTGCCAAGCCCTGAGCTTCTCTAAGCTGGGCAGGCCCTGAAGCAGGTGGCAAGTTGGAGGCACCTTGGACCAAGGCAGGATGCACCCTATCCAAGGGTACTAAGTGCCTTAGGCCTGGGGCTGCCTAGGACTCTGGGCAAATCTGTCTGACCCATTTTGTTCCTCTCCAGTTTTCCTTTATGGCCCTTCCTTCCCAAAGCCTATGACCATATATACAAGTTCATGGGGCACTGCCCCTCCCCGCCACTGGCTCCTAGGTACCTGTTTCCACGGAACTCTTTGAAGTCCCTTAGAAAAGAATGCCTATCTGATCACTAAACTACTCCAGGAGTCTTTGGCCCAGGTTGAGTCTTGAGCTGGGGAGACAAACATCACACCTGTGCCAGTGACACAGGTGTGAGGGTACTACTATCCCTGTGACATGCAGGAGCCCCACTGGCGATCTCAGGAAGAGAGGAGGAAAACATCTTTTAGCCGTCTTGGGCTCTTGCCCAGAGTGCAGGCTGGATGGCTTTGGGGACTGCCAAGGGGCAGTGCATGCTGGGGAAGGCACTGGGTTGCCACCACAATTCCTGGGTGCCCCTTCCTCCTTAATGGCTTCCTTTAAGACACAGGAACCACAACAGATGACATCTTCCTATGCTTTGATTCTAAGACTCAGCTCTGGAAGGACAGACAGCATCTCCTATCCCTCCAGTCACAGCTTCACCTAACCTAGACTACACCAACACTCCAAAGTCCTCAGAGGTCTCTAGAGAACTAACTGCTTACTTATTCCAGGGTCTCATTGCAGAAGCTTCTTCTCATGTCTAACTTCAGTCTCTCCTGTTACTTTATTAAAAGAGAAAAAAATATCCCCCACCCCACCCCCACCCCCCATGGCCTTGCTACTCCCTGGCATCACCTTGTGATTTGCTACCCTGAATGAAAGTAGAAGCTGCCCTGTAAGCCCCGCAACTCTCTGAGCAGATGCAAGAGTCTCCGCCCTCCTGCCCTGTTAGAGACACAAGGACCAAGGAGGTGAGTGCTGCTGCCTGGGCCCCAGTGCTTGCAGATCAGTGGGTGCTTGTCTGCCCAGCCCTGAAAAGGCATCTTAGGCTGGCTGTCCCTAGTTCTCAGGGCATTTACTCGTCATTATTAAGCTGTGAGGCAGCAAAATACTTGTTTGAACTAACCCTTGCTTCTGCCTCTCTCTGGGGCTTGGTGTGAAAGGAGGGAATTCAGAATTGAGTCCGGACTGCAGCAGGAGTGAGCCCCACTCAGCTCCCCCTGCCCATCCAAGCAGAGAAGACAAAATCATAGGCCCCTCAGGCAGGAAGGGACTCTGGAAGCTGCCTAATCTAGTCTATTCCTCTAAGCCACCCCAGCAAGAAGCTATTCCATTTTACAAGCCTGTAACCTCAGTCACATGCAGTCTTATGCTGCAGGAACATCTGCTATAATAATAGAGTTCTATGGCTCTGTCCCCCAAGCAAATTCTGTCTGTGAAGCAGTCAGGTTTCCTGGTAAGAAACCCTTCCTGGTCTCCCAAGCAGATCACCATCCCCCTCTTTCTAATGGACCTCTTTGAAGTAAGGTACTTGACCATGAGTGTTCCTTCAAACAAGCTTAGGGGCTGCAGCCTCCCGCATCCCTGGTTAGCTCCTGTGCCAAAGCAGCTCATCCCGGCCTGGCAAGTAGGCTCCCTGTCTCCCCTGCTGCAGCCCCAGGCAGTGAGGAGAGAATCAGATAAACCTTGGGGAAGCTTCTTTCAGTGTCCCCTTCTGGTAGAGAACTGGGCACAGGCCAAATCATAGCTAGCAGGGCACAAAGAGAGATGCTAGGCCAAATCTGGGGTCCCTGTGAGGGGGAATGGTCACTTAGCTAAGCCCGTAGCCTCCTTGCAGTCCTGGATTGCAGGGAGGTGGCTGTGGGGTGGCAGGGAGAAGTTGTGTGAGCTGACGTTTTTAAAAAAATTGTACTGGGTAAACATTAACATAAACCTGCCCAGGAAAATAGAGCAGGACTTAAAAGTTTAAAAAACCATAACAAAATAGAGCTCTAACTGTAAACTACAGAAAACTGGCCCAGGGAGCTTCAGGGACAAGTGCCCTTCAAGATGCCTGTCACGCTGCTCCCAGATGTGAGAGTCCCCTGGCAGAGCACAGGCTTTGGGGTTTCCTGCTGCACTGCTACTGCTGCCTGGATTGGGGAACTCTGTCCTTGCTTTGGCCTCTTCTTGGAGCAAGGGTAAGGGGGTTGGGACTTCAAGTTGGTAGTGCATGTTGAGTCCCCAGCAGAAGCCAGGCTCAGAAGGCAAGGGAGGCCTGAGCATCTCCCAGAATATGCCACACCTTGGGCTGGGCTCAGCCATGCAATCCTCGTGGTCAGCAATGGGGACCCTTGAAGTAGACTGTTCACCCCCACATCAGCCTTGATCACCTTTATAACAGCCGTCAGCACTGCCTCCTCCTTCTGCAGAGACAGAGCCTTGAACAGGCAGGTAAAAGAGTTGTGTTCTTGTCCCATCCCCTCTACTTGTAGGCCCTGTGACCTTGAGAAGTCCCTGATCCTCTCTGGACCTCCAGTTCCTCATCTGGGGAGTGCAGGGCGTGGACAACTTGAGCTCTCAGGCCTCTTCCAGTTCTGTTGTCCGTGACTGGTAGTACACCTGAGCTCAAGGTGGGATGTCCCCTTTATTAACCCCTCTTTCTTCTGGGGTTAGAGAGCGGTCCAGGCAGTCTAGGGAACAGGGCTCTCCAGGTGGTCCAGGGTATTCCTGGGAGCAGGCAGGGTCATATTGATCCTTGCCTGGCTCAGAAGCCTCCAGAGGCTGGAACAGAGAAGGAATGCTGCATTGAGGGTGGCAGTGGGGGAGGTGGCCACAGGTCTGCAGGCAGAGCTGGAGGGGATGGGCGGGTGAGCGCCTGGTAGTCTCCTGCCCTAACCCTGGAGGGGCTGTGCAGGATAAGTCTTGGTGAGGGACTTCCCCAAGACAAGCCCTTTAGTCCCAGCCACCTAGGGTGGCTCTGGCACTCGGGTGACAGGGTTGGGTTGGCAGTGTTGGCTGAGAGGGCAGTGTCACCCACATGGTGCCCATAACTCAGGCTCAGGCTGGTGCCCCATTCCACCAGGCATCCCAGCCTCCCAACCCTTCTTAGCTCCCACCCCTAAAAGTCTGGAGTCTCATCCCTCAATGCTGAAGGGGCTCAGGCTCCCGATCCCAGCAGCAGGGCAAGAGTTCTAGCCGCCCAGGCAGGCAGGGGCTGCTGGGGAGTCGGAGGAAAACGCCAGGGTCCGGCGGCGCTGCTCCTCAACAGGAGGATGAGGAGAGGTCTTGGTCCCAGGGTTCGTCCTTTTCTTAGTTGAGGGAGGTCCTCAGCCCGCTCCTGCCAGGTGTTCCCACAGGGCCCAGGATTCTGCACTCAGGTGACAGAGTCTACATGTGGACTCCGAGTGCCATCTCTTGCCATTCAAGATATGCATTCAACCCCCTTCTTCCCATGGGCTCGTTTCTTCCATCCAGAACCCCTAGGGGCCCAGGGGTGGGTGCAGTATCATCATGGAAGTCACTGCTCAGTACATCTTCATTTAGAGAAAAAGATCCGCCTATGGTTCTGTCCTGTGGCAGAATATGAACTATCCTACCTCCTGCACAAAGGGTCCTGTTTAAAGTAGGTGTTTAAAACCAACCACTCTGGGCACAGTGTTGGGCCACCTTGGCTTGGGAACGGCCAGGGCCAGCTGGCTGTGTCCGTCAGAGTTGGGTTCCAGTTCTGTTGCGGAAGGAGAAGCGCCGAGTTCAGAGCTCCAGGTAGCCTATGAGGATGAGCATCGCTGTGGAGTGGGAGAGGATGGCGCCGGGGTGTGGGGCTGGGCAGACTGCCGCGTCTTCCACCATCATGCTTGTGCCTGAAACCAGCAGAAATGCAGGCTGAGTGAGCAGGGCCTGGGTGACCCTAGCCCCATGCTTGCAACAGGATCCAGACCTTTCCTAAGTAGACACTGGGTGGGGGGGCAGGGGGGTGGAACACTGCAGACCCGAGTGTCAACGGCGCCTGGTATGCTCAGTCCTACTCTCATAGTTTTCCAGGGCCTTTGTCCTTGGCTGTAGCCTCCTTTTGTACCCAGTAAAAGAAGCACCCTCACTTCAGTGGCCCTCGGGCTATGTGGAGAGTGGGAGAAGGCAATGGCTTTGCTCTACTTTGGTTCCTGCCTGGCTTTTCCATTCTCCTGGGGTCTAGGTTGGAGGTGGCTGGGGTGGGTGGACATGATCCCTTCACCAGGTGTCTGGGTGGAGTCTGATACTTCTGGGGGACAGGAGAGGGGAGAGGCAGCACCTCCATTCCTCACGATGTGAACTTCTGCCGGGATGCCATCCCCTCCAGGTCCCGTGGTCCGAATCTGTACAAGGGCGTGGCCAATGTCTTCGGGTACTGGGATTTCTATCCAGTTCTTGCCAGTAAGGTGGAGTGTGGGAGTTGGGTGTAAGTCATTCTGGTACAGCATCTAGGAAGAAGGTTTCCGGGTGGAGTTTCCTTATGCCAGGGCAGATCCTTCTTTCTTGCCCAGATCTAGTCCCTGGGGGGAGCCCAGTTAGTTCTGGGCCCTTGAGGTTCTGTCTCCTCACCCCTCCTTGGCTTTACCATTAGCCAAGCTCCTCCCTGGTGGGAGGTGAGCTTGCAAACTCACCTCCAGCCCCCCTGCTGCCCCACCACCCCTGCCTTTTCGCAGCAATCCCATCTGCTCCTGTTTAATAGTCTCTACCACAGGCGAGCTGGAGAGCACCTCTGTGCAGCAAGCCTCTACTGGTCCCACACTCTGCTTCTGTCTCACTCAGATCTCTCTTGCTGCATATTGTGGCTTTCATATTTACCAGAAAGACCAGAGCTTTTCTCACCTGTGGATCTCTTCCTCACCTTGTAGCCAGTGACTGCAGACTCGTTTTGGAAAGGGACCACAGCGTCCCATTTAATGCTGAGACTGGAGCTTGAGAAAGTCCAGGAGATGTTGCCAGGAGGTCGCCGGGGAGCTGCCAGGGGAGGAGAGTTGGAGAGACCTCCACATGGTCCCCTGTCCGCCCCCCCCACCCCGCCTCAGCATCCGCCAGCCCTTCTCCAGATGTCTGCCTGTACTAATTACACCTAGAACATTCTGCCACCAGTGCCTCAAAAACAAAGTCCTTGAAAGTCCAAAGGCTGGAGAAGACAGAGGCCGTGAATTTCTACCTCGTTTTCAACAGGCTCACCCCTTGTTTCTGTGGACCAGAGCATGTGTCTTGTTGCTGGAGAAACAGTGACCCTGGAAGCACCCCCAGCATCCCCATCACCCCTGGCAGACAGACTCACGAGGTTTCATGGTTGTGGCATTGGTGGGAGGACTGGCAGGCCCGGTGCCAGCGCGGTTATAGGCCCGCACGGTCACGTGGTACTTGGTGTTAGGGTGGAGGCCGGTGACTCGGGCATTGGAGTCTAGCCCTGCTGTCCTCACTCTGTCAGCAGCTGCTTCTTTGTCCCCAGCTTTCCAGTAGCGGATCTGAAGGGGGCAAGAGTACCCTGGGGTCAGTGGTCAAGCCCAGGATCTCAGGGCTACCCTAATCCTGGTGCCCACATTCTGTTTCCCTCTTGCTCGCCCTGATCCCAAGACTCAGTCTCTTAAGTCTTAGAATTGGGATACTTGGTTAAAGCACCCAGAGAGCAGGGTCACCTGGTGTGAGTCCCTGTATCTCTCAGTGCCCAGCAAAAGTACTGGGTCCAAGAAAGGTGCTCAATGTAGGGATGAGGGAGTGGTGCGGGAGGGATTAGCAGGGGTGAGCACCGGCTCAGCCTGGTGATGGCCTGCCAGAGCCCAACTCATCAGGAACTCAGGGGCTCCCATAGAGATTCCAAGGATACAACATCATGTTTATATTTGCAAAGTAGCCCCTGGCCCCCAGTAAGTTTATGATGGCTGCTCAACAAACAGACCCGATTTAGTAGTAGCTGGAATATTAAGAACTGCTAAACATTTTTCCAAATCAAGGGGAGAGTTTGGAATAAACTTCTCCCTGTGTGATCTGTCCTGTGCCAGCTCTACCCAAGCACTCACTTCATGTGTGACATCTATGAGTTTCTCTTCCCCATTGGGGGTCAACTATGGATGATGATGATGATGATCATCATGATTTTTTGGTGCCAGGGATTGAACCCAGAGGCTCTTTATCACTGAGCCATATTCCAAGCTCTTTTTAAAAAATATTAGAGTTAGGTCTCGCTGAGTTGCTTAGTGCCTCACTAAGTTGCTGAGGCTGGCTTTGAATTCGCAATCCTCCTGCCTCTGCCTCTTAAGCCACTGGGATCACAGGCCTGTGCCATCGCTCCTGGCTCAGCCACCGATCTTAGTGAAGTTGCATCCACAGTGCCCCACAGACTGGCAGCTCAGTTTGTCAGGCAGAGAGTGAGTGACTCCAGGAAGAGAGATGAGTGAGCTGTCAGGCGTCCCCCCAAGCCTCGAAGCCCCAGCACCCCTGCACACCGCATTCCTCTCTCAGGCCCCGGGTTAGTGCTCACCTCATACCCCAGGAGGATGCCATTTGTGTCCTGCCGCACAGGTTCCCAGGTCACGTTCATCTCTGATGATGAGATCCCCTTGGCCCAGACCTTGGTGGGGGCCACCCTGGGCTCTGGGGACCAACACAGAATAGGTTTGGATTTCTGGAGCATTCCTATGTCCTACAGAGCAGCTCCCAATAAGGACTGCCTAGGATTTTAGAGGAAGAGTCCAGGCCCAGGACAAAGGCTGGGTGGGAGCCCCCAGAGTGTCTCTCGGGGCTTACTTTTCTTCCTAGACAGCTGCTCCCCTCCTTCTCCTGCTCAATGAGCAGAAGTGAGTCCGGTGGCTTAGAACCCAGGGGCCCTCTCCACCTCCTACTCTGAATCAAGCTGGGGCAGGAGCAGCAGTTTCCCCATCCCATATCCTAGGGACAAAAGGCTGGGGTGGGCCAGAGGGGTGGCCCAGGAGTGGCCCACCTTCCTCGGCCGAATACACAAGTGCTGTGAGGCTCTCAGGCCCATCCCCCCGGCGGTTGTAGCTTCGGATCTTGACCTCAAAAGGCGTGTAGGGCTGGATGCTGTCGTTGCTGTAGACGAAGTACTGGGCGTCGGCGCCGGGCACCCGGGCGGTCTGCCAGCTAGTGCTGCCCTGCCTGCGGAAGGACAGCAGGTAGCCGAAGCCGTCTCCGTTCTGGTACTCCCGTGACATGGGCTGAGGGCAAGAGGGTGGCATGGGCGAGGAGTCACGGATGCGGTTCCCTGCCCAGCCTTGGTCCCCACCCAACCTTCACCAAGAGGGGCAGCCCTGGGACACCTGCGCCTGCAGTGGGTTTGCGTGAGGGGCAGCAGGTGCAAGGGGAGGGGAGGAGGAAGTTGGCAGCTTTTGAGTCAAAATTGTGCAGTGGACCCTTCTGCCCACTGCTCAAGCAGAAGAGTCAGGAAGGGAGGAGGGGGTGGGACTCGTCTGCTTCTGTCCCTGGCAGCTTACAGTCCAGTTGACGATGAGCTCTCCCGGGGCTCCACCTCCTCCGCTGAGTCCTGATGGTGCCACTGAGGGGGCTGTCAGGGGCCAAGGGACACAGATGTGGCTTGTTAATGGGCAATGAAGGAACAAAAGCTTCAAGCCTGTGCCTGGAGCACATCTCAGGATGGGAACATCCTTTCAAATGCATCCTGGTTTTGTCCCCAGCAGCCCTTCTGGGCATGGGCTCTGGAGTCAGACAGACCCGGGATCAACTCCCATTTCTGCCATTGACTACGTGGGTTTCCTGGGCAAGAAACTCAACCTCTCTGAGTCTCTGCTTCTCCTCTTCATAAGATGGAGATAATGTCTCTCTCAAAGGTTATAATGAAAACGAAATTAAAGGTGTGGTGAGCACATGGTAGGGAGCTGCTCAAAAAATTGGTCGTGGTCCTTTTCACTCCTGTCAGCTTAAACTAAATCACAGACACCAACTTGGGTTTGCTTTAAGCAGAATAAATAACCCAGAATGGCGGTTAATGCACCACAACACACACACACACACACACACACACACACACCACTGAATAAACAACAATGATAAAAAACAAAAACAAAAACTATTTCTTTTGGGCTCCAAAGTGTTTTTAACTTATTCTTTTTGTGACAGATTTAATTCCCTAATTGGCTATAGTATTTAAAAAGGCTGATGTTGTGTGGCACACACCTATAATCCCAGCAGCTCAGGAGGCTGAGGCAGGAGGATCGCAAGTTCAAAGTTAGCCTCAGCAACTTAGTGAGACTCTAAGCAACCTAACAAAACCTTGTCTCAAACTAAAAAAAGACGGGAGGGTCCTGTAGCTCAGTGCTAAAATACCCTTAGGTTAAATCGCCAGTACCAAAAAAAAAAAAAAAGGCTGATGTTAAAACAAGGATGTATTTCACCTGCTCATGCAGCTTGGCTGAAAGTAACCTGGCTGGGGTCTAAATATTTCTGCAGAGAATTCAGCACAGGGAGACTTCACTTTTCCGATGATGATCTCTTCAGGCCTTGTACTTTGCATGGGTCACCTAAATACATCGCCTATTTGATTCTGCAAGGTGGGCATTATCATCATCCTTGTCATAGTAGAAAAGATTGAGGTCTGGGGCAGTTAAGTGACTTGCTTAAGGTCACATGGCTAACATATGGCACAGCTAGAATTTGAACTCAGTTCTTTTGATTTTTAAAGCCCGTTTTTTTTCCATTGCACAACTCCTGGGAGACTAGAATAAAGGAGACCTCTTCCCACCTCACATCACCAAGAAGTTCAGGGTTAATTAAAGAAAGTACTCCCTCTGAAACTTCTTACTACTAAGAGGTACCAGCTAAAAATATTGGTGATTCCAGAACCAGCCTGGAGAGTCATCCTGGAACACACAGAATGCGCTTAAAGGAGACACCAGGATGGACCCTCTCTACACATCTGATGCAGCAGGTCAGAGGAGGCAGGATGAGGGAGCAGGGTTCAGAGTCCTGTCTGTTCCAGGATCCCTCATTCCAGGCCCTCACCTGCAAATGGCTCAGAGGCAGGTGGGCAAGAGCCTCCCAGCAGATGCTGATGGGGCCTGTGCCTGTTCCTCCTCCTGGGCTCTCTCCCCACTTCTGTCCCCACTCAGGTTCTGAGACATACACTTTTCACTGAGGGTCATGGGCAGACTCTTCATTCCTCCTGTTCCCAAAGAGGTCATCTAAAAAGGGCTTGGAGACACTGGCTGCTTCCCTGTCCCCACTGGGTGACACACACACACAGCCCTTCCTCATTAACTGATCGCTGCAGCTTCTGCACTTCCAGGAATGCCACCCCATGATTCAAGTTCAAGTTCAGGCTCTGCTGGTGTGACCCCTTCCCTTTTCCAAACTTCTGGTTTTCCATATTTTTTAAAAATGTAAACTTAAAAAATAATCATGGATTCGCATGCAGTTGTCAGGTTGATTCTTTTGAATGAGCGGTTTGGACTTCACGGCTCTCCCCACAGCAGCCTCGCCCTCGCCCTCGCTTGTGTGTCCTTTCTCAGCTGTCTTGTTAGAGCCCAAAGCCTGGTGAGCAGGGCTGGAACTCCGTGTTGGCTGCATGCTGGAAGTCCCCCTGTAGGGGGAGCCAATGTCTCTGCCCTGCTGTGTTTCCTTTGGGACATCCAGGACCCTGACCTGCTTCCTTGGTCCGGATTCGGCTGGAGGGGCCACTGGGCTCCCCGGTGCCCAGGATGTTGCTGGCTAAGACTCGGAACTCATAGTCCATCCAGGGCGTGAGGCCCAGCACCTGGGCGGTCTCGGCATTGCCCTCGATGTTGGCAGGATCTGCAAGGTACCAGGGAGTCGGTGCACAAAACTTGGTTATTCATCTGGATGAGGGTGGGCATTGGGCCTGATCACCTTGGTAACCAGCCCCCATGGTGGCACCTGCTGTATACTAAGCACTCAAAACCTCCTCAGACTCGATTGAAAAACTAGTCAACTCCCCTGGTGTGTGCACCCCACACCCTAACCAGTATTTTCATTTCTCCAGTATTAATCCTTCCTCCAAGTATTTGAGGGTGCAGACTGAGCATCCCCTCCTCAACTCTCTCCCCTCTCCTGCTCTCTGTCTCTTTACTTGCCTGGACGCTTCTGGATAGTAGAAAACTAACATTTCAAAACTCCAGGTTCATTGCTGACCCTCTGACCCCTGACTCCTGACCCTGACGACACCCTGCCCCCTGCCTCTGACACATACAGCCCAGCTTTCTCAGTGCTGAGCCAGGTGGGCCTCACACTTACTGGTCCGAACCTGCTTCCACTTCCCTGCAGGTAGAGAGCGGGCCTGCAGGGTGTACTTGGCAATGGGACTGTGGTTGTCGAAGCCACGGCTCCAGCTTAGCCGGACAGTGGTGTCACTGATGTCTCTCACCACCACGCCTCCTGGGGGGCCTGGTGGACCTGCACCGAGAGCAGAGCACACTGGGTCAGAGTTGGGCAGCTTCTTATTTGAGCCAACCTTCTCCAGGGCTGGTGCATTACCAAAGCAGGGCAGCAGAGGGAGCAGTGGACACACCCAGGAAGGAAGGTAAGGGAGGGGCAGTGAGTGGGGAGGGGGGGCACAGTGGGAGGGGTGGCCTCAAGCTGGGGGTGCTCACAAAGGCACTGGCAAAGCGATGTGTAGATTCCCAAGCACCAGGCTTGAAAACTGGGTTTAGCAAAGTTTTCTGCCTTGGTTTAAGGATGGATTTTTAAAAAATATTTGTCTTCGCAAGAAAAATATTCTACTCATTCAGAACCCACGAAAAATCAACCATACAGGCACAGAAAGGATATACCAGGCTCAGCAGATGACCTATGCCAGAAGCCCTTCCCCACAGCTTGCAGGGGAGGAGGGGAGCTAGGGACAGCAGGCCAGAATAGCCCTGCTGGCTGCCAAGAAAGCAGGGGTGGGGCAGAGTGGGGGGAACCCGTCACCTCGGACCAGAACGGTGGCCTCCTTGGATGCACTGTCCACCACTGTCTGGGCCATGCATGTGTACTTCCCTCCATGGCGCAGCTGGGCATTCAGGATGGTCATGTCCCCAACGGTCTCCTTCTGCATCCAAGGGGACATCCAGGTCAGAGAAAGTAGCCTTTACTAGTTCACTGGGCCATGAGATCAAAGCAGAGATCTGGGGTCCCCCTGCTCCATTATGTCCGCAGGCCCCTCTGCCTCTCAGTTCAATGGGAGGAATCAGCTACTCCCTGCTTAGTACCCCCGGGGACTAAGGAACAAAGCTTATTACGGAAGACAGTCAATGTCACTGCAAGCCATTGGTCATTTGCATTGGGTGGCAGGATAACAGGAAGAGTAGCCGGGAGGGAGTTTCCTGGGATGCTCGGGTTCCCAGTCTGTCTCCAACCCTCCCCTGAGTGACTGGGATCCAGGAGGGACAAGTTTGCCTGCACGGGCCTCAGGGAATGGGGAAGGCTCTGGAGGGGCTTCAGGTGGTGGACAATGGTGGCTTCAGATGTCCTTCAAGTTGAGGACATCTTGGGTCCCCTCTCTATCTGAAAGGAGGGAGGAGTGACAGGGAGTTTGGCCTTAGTCCTCACCACACTGGCTCTCCTATAGTGACCCCCAGGCTTGTCAAAGTCAATGGGGAAGTCATCGAGGGTCCAGGTGAACGTGAGGTCCATGGTGGGGTCATGGGAGGCGTGGCACTGTAGGGTGAGGTTGTCACCCACATTGATGTCGGCACTTGAGGGGGCCAGAGTGATCTTGGTTGCATCTGAAAACAAAACAAAAAAGACCCCTGGGTGAGTGGGGGAGGGAAAAGGCCAGGCCAGGGGCTGCAGTAAGGCACAAGGCTTCGTCCTGGGCCCCAGGAAAGAACAGAGGCACTGTGACCTATAGTGTCCTGACCCCTCAGCATCCCTATGCGTGTGTGGCCAGCAGTGAAGCAGGACCATTTTCTGGACAGTGACAAGGGGATGGCCCCATGCAAAACTGAATCCTGGGGTGGTCTCAACACCCAACCAGAAGCCATCTGGGGTTACAGGAGTAGGCTGGTGGGGGAGGTGGCCCCCAGCCACAGCCCTTACCACGCACAGACAGGATCCCGGTGCTGTTGGCTTTGCCCATAAAATTCTCAGCAAAGCACGTGTATTTGCCCTCGTCGGACCGACTGATGTTCCTTATGACCAAGGTGCCATCCGGAGTTACGGTCACTCTGAAGCAAGGACAAAGCAGATCTGGCCAACCCAGGGACACACTGCAGACACGGAGGGGAACCGGCCTCCAAGGAGAACGTGGAGGAGCGTGGACGGCTCGGGGTGGGGTGCGGGGTGGTACCTGCTGCTGTTGACCAAAATCTCAGTGCCTTTGCTCCAGAGCACCACGGCCTTTGGAGCTGCCCGGGGCTGGCAGGGAATGACGATCTCTCCTCCTCGAGCGGCAGGGATCAGACGCCTGACAGGATTCTGCCTGAAGTCAGGCGCCAGTGCTGGAGGGAAAGGGGAAAGTCGCGCAGTCACCATAGAGTAACAGCAGTGCCTGTCGCCCTGGACGGGCCAGGCACTAAGCACCATCAGTACCTTAGAGACCAACCCACAAGCTCCCGGCAGCACCACTTCCAGGACACACCCAGCATCCAGCCCCTTCCCCTCCTGGCCACTGCCATTGCTCTCGTCCTGCCTGGACTGCTGACAAAGCCCCATATTCGGTCTTCTTGGGACTCTGCTTCCCTCCTACAATCACTTCTCCCCACCCCGCAGCCAGCAATGTCTGTAAAAATGTGAATCAAGCATTCAGAATGAAGCCAGCAGCTCACAGCCATTGAAAACAAGTCCCCACTTCTCCCATCCCTTCTCCTCCCCTGGCATTACACTCCAGTTATCAGCCAATTTATTTTTTCTTTTGTCCTTCAAAGTTGACAAGCCTCATCCTGCCTCAGGACATTTGTGCTTGCTGTAACTGTGGCTAGAAATTCCCTAACTCTTCCCATGGCTGGCTCCTCCTTAACACACAGGTCAAATCCCAAATTTGTTTTGCATTTGTCCTTCTCCCTCCAACAGTTTATAAACTGCTTGAGGACACAGACATGATCTTTCTGCTCATTCCCTTGGAGGTACTGAATGGGCGAATGAGCAAGTCTCCCTTAGCCTCACTGTAATTTTTTTTTAAATAATTTTTTAATTGTAGATGGACACAATACCTTCATTTTTATTTATTTGTTTTTATGTTGTGCTGAGGATCGAATCCAGGGCCGCAAGAGTTTGAGGCCAGTGCTCTACCACTGAGCCACAACCCCAGTGCCAATCTTTTTTTTTTTGTGGTGCTGGGGATTGGCCTTGAGGCAAGCACTCTACCAACTGTACTACATCCCCAGCCTCACTGCAACTTAACGAGATAAGTATTATTATGCCCACATTACAGTTGGGCAAACCAAGCCTCAGCAAGCCAAAGGCATTTGAACTAAACACAAGCACTAGGTGACATTTCATGGGCACTTGTCATAAGATGGGCAGGCCCTTTATGCTTTTCCTCTCCATCACATTTACCCTCACAGTAGCAGAACGAGGGCATGACCATTATTATCATTTTTTTCGGGGGGGGGGGTGGGTACCAGGGATTGAACTCAGGGACACTCAACTACTGAACCACGTTCCCAGCCCTATTTTATATTTTATTTAGAGACGGAGTCTCATTGAGTTGCTTAGAGCCTCACTAAATTGCTGAGGCTGACTTTGAACTGGTGATCCTTCTGCCTCCGCCTCCTGAGGGGCTGGGATTACATGTGTATGCCACCATGCCTGGCCAGGGCAGGACCATTATTGCCCACATTTTATATATCGAGAAACTGTGGCTGGGTATGTTGGCACATGCCTGTAATCTCAGCAAGTCAGGAGGCTGAGCAGAAGGATTGTGAGTTCAAAGCCAGCCTCAGCAAAAGCAAGGCACTAAACAACTCACAGTGAGACCCTGTCTCTAAATAAAATACAAAATAGGGCTGGGGAGGTGGTTCAGTGATTGAGTGCCCCTGAGTTCAATCCCCAGTACCAAAAAAAAAAAAGAATGAAAAAGAAAAATAGAAACTGGCAGAGACGCTAAGCAATTGCCAAAATCCACACAGCTGAAAGGGAGGGGTTAAACAGAGCTCATTAATTTGATTCTTGATCCTTTTTGCTACCTTTTCCCCCCACCCATTTGCGTTGTCCCTGCCAGACGTGGAATGAGTCAGAGACCTGGTCCTCTGGGACCTGTCAATCCTGTGTCTCACCTCCTTTCTGAAATTTCTCAATTCTCCCACTCAGAGGCTGTTGGAAAACTGAGGGCAGCTGCCCGCACACGTGGGTGCACTTGCGCATGTGAGCCTCAGGAGATGCTCTCTTCAGAACTCTGATGGCCCACCCCCCAACCGCCATGTGCACAAGGATGTCCCCTCCCTCCCTGGGCCCTTTACCTTGCACGGCCAGCTCAGCGCTGGCATAGATGGTGCCGTGCTTGTTCTCTGCCACACACTGGTACATGCCCGAGTCCTCCAGGCTCAGCTTGGAGAACCGCAGGTCTCCGGCCAACACTTCCACCCGGTTCTGTGCAGAAGAGCCCCGCCCAGGGCAGGGCAGGGGGATTGGGATGACTGGAGGCCCGGGAAGGAGGCTTAGCAGGGATGCATGCAGCGGAGGCTCGAGGCTCGTAGCTCCTTGGGATGGGGCTCATGTGTCGGGTCCTAGCTCAGCACAACCTGGAATCTCAGGACTCTGTGGTTACCCAGCCCAGCCCTGCCCCGAAGCCAGGAGGGCCAAGTGATCCACTCAAGACCACATTCTGTTTTTGTGTCTGGGTCACGTTTGGACCCAGGTCTCTGAGATTCTCTCTAGTTGACCAGCCCGTGGCCAGGTGACTCTGGGATGGAAAGAAGCACCCAGAACCCCCCACAACACCCTGGCAGTCAAGAAGGGCTACCAGTGATGTGGGGGGGGGGCTTTGGGGATGAGGGAACCAGGGGAGCAGAAGAGGGTGTGCTGTGTGGGAGGAAGCCCAGGTCTACCTGGGAGGCCAAAGGCTCCCCGTTCCGCAGCCAGCGCACGGTGGGTCGGGGCTTCCCTGCAGCCGCGCAGCCCCAGCGCAGGTTGGAACCGATGTCAGCCTCTGTGTCTGAGATCACTTTGAGCCACTCGGGTTGAGCTGTGGGGACCAAGGGAGAAGAAACCTGGGATGACCTGGGAGGAGCCTCTGCTCATTAAATAGAAGGGAACAGGGAGGCTGCGGTGGGTGTGTCCGACAGCAGGGGCGCGCTCTGCACCCTGGGATGGAGAGGATGAGGAGAGGGCAAGAAGCAGCAGGCCCAGGAAAGTCGGCCCTCTGTGGTTGTGTAGTGGCGGTTTTAGCAACTTAAATCACTCTAAAGTGCTTGTGTGCCGCCTGCACCCCCAACTGAAGCTCTGTGCTCTCTCTACCCCATACTCAGTGCAAGAGGGCTGAAGCGAGGCCCCCCGGACTCCCTCTGACTTTTGGGGATGTTTCCTCAGGGCCAGAGGTGTAGGTGAAGGTGTCCCCGGCTCCATACCCTGAACAATGATGCGGCCCTGGACGGTGTCGCGGCCCTTGGAGTTCTCCGCCTCACACTCATACGTTCCCTCGTCTTCAAAGCTCACGCTGGGGATCTGCAGGGTGGGCTCGGCTGTGGCCCACTGTGGGGACAAGGAGCCGTCTACTTTGCGCCACTTGATCCTGGGCACAGGACTGGCAGGGGAGACAAAGCCAGAGCGGGCGGCTGAGCTGGGCATGTTCCTCCTGTGCCCGGACTCTTGGGTTGGGGGTGGGGGCCCTGGGAGGGGACATGTGGGCTGATTCATAGCTCTTCTCCCTGCTAGGCTTGGAATGCCATCAGGGAAGGGAAAAGGAGCAGGCCTCCTCTACTGCCCCTGTCCACTGCCACAGCTGTGAAGCCAATGAAGTGGTCTTCAGGTGGTCCGGTTTGCCCTCTCACTGTCCTGGTCAGCTGTAGTCTATGTGCTGGGTCTTTATGGTCCCCTTTCCTATGGCCCCACTTTTCAAAGACACTTTAGTTATGAGTAACCTGTGTCCTAAAATGGATTGAGGAATCAGCATCCTGAAGGGCCACTATATTACCCTTCCATGTGCCTTTCAGGTAGGGTTTCTGCAGGCCCAATAACTTTCCACAAAGCAGCAGCCCCAGGACATATTTGAAGCAAGAGGGGACCAAAGTCAAATCACATTCTTTCATTCATTCCATAGACATTTATTGAGCACCTGCTCTTTCTTAGCCCTGTTCCAGTGAAGGCTTTTTTTCTGGGAGAGCAGGAAGGTTAATGGTTTCTATTGTACTTTTGAAATAGGTGACTGTTGACATTCAAGGAATGCTTACTAAATGCCAGGCATTGTTCTCAGGCTTTAAGTATATTATTTACTCGTAACAATCTTACCAGGTGGTTACTGTTACTCTCACTGTTTACAAAGGAGGAAGCTGAGATACTCGGGTTATCTCATCTTATGCCCAAGGCCTCCCCCTCAGTGAATGACCTCCAGGATCTGCACCAGGTGTGCTGGGTGGAGCCCATTTTGCTCCTGCCCCTGCCCCAGTGTTGCTCAGGCCATCTGAGCCCACTATGTATTGCTGGCAGGACCAAGTGATCCAATGTGTGCAAGGCTCCTGGCACCGGATGCCTCACCTGCAGTTAGTGATCAGAGGGTGGTCACAGTACCTACTGCCCACCTAGCACTCTGCTTGGGGCAGAGGGGCACCAAGTTGCCTGTTGGCCTTGTCCACTCTCACCCTGGGGTCCCCTGTGTCTCTGAGGAGCTCTGAAAGGTTGTGCCTGGCCCCAGGGAGCTCCCCTCCTCTGTGCCACTCACTTCCCAAAGGCGAAGCACTCCAGGGTGACCTGCTGGCCCACTAGCGCGTAGGTCTCTGCTGGGAACCGGGCCTTAATGCTGGGCGCGAAGAGCCGGGGATCTGGGGAGAGGGGGAGGTGCGTATTATACATAAGTGACTCCAGGGGAGTCACCTAGCTCCTGTGCTAGGATCCTGTGAGGCACCCTTCAGAGCCCGTGGTCTCCAGCTTGGTGGGGTCTCAGAGGACTTCCCTTCCCCTTGGGGCCTGGGGCAAAGGTCTGAGACCTGAGGAAGACGAGGGGACCTATTCCCAAAGCCCACTGACGCTTCCAGCGCCCTCCTCCCGCCACACCTGGCAACCCTGACCTTCAGCAGCCAGGTTGAGCTGGGCGAATTTGCTGAAGACGCTTTTGGTGGAGAAGTCCATGTGGCTGGTGGCCAGGCAGGAGTAGTTGCCCAGGTCCGAGGCGTTGGTCCGGGCAATGTACAGGTTCCCTGTGGTCTGGGACACGAAGTGGCGCCCGTCCGTCGGGATGAAGTTGGGGAACTCGTTGAGGAGCCAGCGGTAGGACAAGCCTAGGGTGCAGGTAATTTGAGGAAACCAGGGGGGCAGGGCTCAGGGGCAATCGTGGGGGGACCCCACATGCTGGAGAGAATCTGTGGACCTTGCTTTGGGAGCCTCCCACTCTCTGAACTGGAGTTGAGGGGAGACCTAGAGGCTCTGTTCTCAGGGAGCACAAGGTGCTGGTGAACACACCCTTAGGGACAATTAGAAAAGGGCAGACCCACCACACAAAGAGTCATTTAAAGTAGGGGGACCCAGCATCAGTGCTTGCGAGGGGCACTTGCCACCTCTTATTCCAACCTTCCTTGGCTGAACATCCAGAAGTCATTCCTGTGTTCCCGGCAGGGTCCCACTCACCTGGGTAGTGGGCAGGTGGGTTACAGGGCAGCATCACCCCCCAGCCTTCGTGGGTCTTCACAGGGTCTCGCTCCTCCTTGGAGAATTCCTGCAGAACTAGAGGTGGAGACGGGGAATCAGGCACCATCCTCCGTGCCCGGGGCTCCCTCCCCATCTCATCACCCTCCCGGGGCAGTAGAGGTAGAGGGCATGTCAGGGGAGGGCAGGAAAGCCTGGCTTGAGGGCGTCCCCTGGGCTTCCTGCCTCTTTTTCCCCTCCCCCAGTGTCTTGGCCACCCATTGTTCTCACAGCCAAAGCGGAGGACGGCCTCCCTGCTGACCACAGTGCCCACTGGGTTTGAGGCCAGGCACTGATAGACACCAGCATCCTGTGCCTTGGTGGGGTTCATGATGACCAGGTTGCCCCCCACCAGCTGGTGGCGGGAACCTGGCTCCAGCTTCATCTCGGTGCCATTCATCTTCCACCTGTCAAAGGGGACAGAGGAGGGGAACCTCTGAATCCTGCCTGCAGTCGGGGCTGACGTGAGGGAAAAACAGTGCGGCTGCCCAGGGTGTCCAAGGACTCACTGCAGGGCCCTCACCTATAGGTGGCTGGAGGGCTGGCCCGGGCACGGCACGCCAGCATCACCTGCTCCTCCGTAGACTCCTCTGGGAATAGCAGGCCGACAGGTTGTTCTTCAAAGACAGGCCCAAAGGTGGCCAGGGATCCCTGGGCTAAACTCCAAGCTGCAGAAGAGGACATCACCAGAGGGGCTCACAGCCTGAGGCTAGCTGGGGCCTGGCCTCTAGCGCCATGCAGCTCAGCAGAACTTCCTGCAGTGCAGGAGATGTTCCATCTTCTGCACACTAGACACTTGAGGCTATTGAGAACTGGAAATGTGGCTAAGGAATCAATTAAAAAAATTTTTTTTTTAAGTTGTTGATGGACCTTTATTTATTTATATGTGGTGCTGGGAATCGAACCCAGTGCCTCACACATGCCAGGCAAGTGCACTACCGCTGAGCCCCAGCCTCAGCACTAAGGAATCAGTTTTTAAATTTAATTTTAACTAATTTAAATTTGAATTTAAATAGGCTGGGCAGGCCCCTCTGGTCAAGTTGTCACAGTCAGTCCCCACCCTACACTCAGGTATTAAGCACCTGCTCTGTACCTGACATTGGGTTAGAGACTGGGCTGCGAAGGTGAAGCAGACACAGCCCCTCTCCCTGGAGGAGCTTGAGGCACATGACACAGAAAACTGATGGTCCAAGGTGGCACGTGTCCAAATAGTGATCAAGACGCTGGGGCCTTGGAATGGAAGCAGTTGCTGCCACCCTGGGGGACTCTCAGAGGAGCCTTAAAGAACTGATCCATTGGGCGTGAGATGCAGGAAAAGTCACTGGCCAACCCCGGGGGAAGGGGTGTGTGTCCCTGGAGTCTGGTACCTTTCTGGGACAATGTGACTCAGTAAAAAGCCTTGGGCTGGGGGCTGGGTTGGGCCTCCTACCAGCTGTGTGACCTTTGGCAAGTTGTGGGACTCTTCTGACCTCCCATGTCTCTACCTGTGAAAAGAAAACTAGCCAGGTGCGGTGGTGCACCCCTGTAATCCCAGCAGCTGGGGAGGCTGAGACCGGAGGATTGTGAGTTCAAAGCCAGCCTCAGCAAAAGTGAGGTGCTAAGCAACTCAGCTAGACCTTGTCTCTAAAGAAAATACAACATGGGGCTGGGAATGTGGCTCAGTCCTGCCTCTGAGTTCAATCCCGGTACCGATAAGAAAAAAGAAAGGAAAGCTGTGAACCCCCTCCAGGGCCCACAGGAGGATCCAGCCAGGGCCCTAGCAGGCATCTGGTGTGTCTGCCAGATCCAATCCAAGTGTGGGGCGGGAGGGGCTGGGGGGATGGAACCCGACGATGAGTTGATGAGTGGATGGCTGATTGGTGGCACTTTTCTAAAATCCCTGTGCCACAATTCAAGAAAGAGAGGCCCGGAAACGAAGTGGTTTGCTCATGGTCACACAGTAAGTCTGACACAGACCCGTCTAAATCCCACTTCTCCTGAAATTCCTGAAAGAATGGTTACCACACCCACACACGGAGCTTTCCTGCCAGTCCTGTCTCCTGAGCAGGCACCCCTCACTTCATGCACCATTGTCCCACCTCTCCAGGACAGGGACAGTGTATGAGGGACACAGGTGACAGGGCCTGGGTGTCTCTGTCGGCCGCCTGATGGGGCCCGTGCACTTTGTCTCTGTGGTGTCAGCAGGAGCCAGTGCCCCCCGCCAAGTTGGCTCCTAGCTCTCCACACTGGCTGATTTCAGGCCCTGATCGGCAGGTCATGAGGAGGCCGGGATCCCCATTAACAATTAGTGCCCCAGTGCATCCAGCTGTCGGCCTCCATCCAAGGGTGGGTCTCCATGCTGCAGCTGAGCCTTCCCTGCCCCCTGGGAGTGAGGGCAGCTGTTAAGCAGCTCTCAGAATGAGAGAGGAGACGGGGCTCCCAGAAGCGGCCTGGTGCAGGCACCCCCGCCCCTCCCTGCCACCCATCACTCTCCCTCACTGCCGCCCCAGGCCTGGAGACGGTGGTCTGCAGGCACCAGCATCATCTCGGCTGGAAAGCCCAGCTTAATCCCCAGTTAATGATGGCGGTGGAGGATAGGGATCCTGCCCCAGCTGGGACCACTGGGAGGGGAGGGAAGGAGGGATGGAGGCAGCCAGGGCGCTGGGAATCGCCTTTACAATAGCAGCTTCCAGGAACTCTGCGGGGTGGGACGGCTGAGTGGGCCAGGACACACTGATGCTCTAAGACTGTCCCTCTTCCCGAAAAAAGCTTTCTGCAGTGCACACCGTCACACTCCCCCGGGTATCCATATGGACACACCTCACATGGTTCACCCGCACACTTCCTCACACTCGCTCTTAGGTCACATTCAGATACACATTGACATGTGGCTCTCAGCTACTCAAATGGCCAGATACACAGTGTAGACACACATCTGTTCCCACCCACGAACTGCTGCAAGTGGCATGTATATACATTTACATATGCACGCATTCATAAGTAGGTGTTTGTTGATAATAATAAAATAAATAAAAGTAATAAAAACAGACGCTATTGATGGATTGCCTCCTGATTATCAGATACCACACCACGTTACCCACTTGCTTCTCACACCCTTTGACAGATAGGTATTGTGTTTTCTTTTTAACCAACACAGAATCTGAGACTTAGAAGGTTAAACAACGTAGCCCAACAGCACACAGCAAGAAGGAGCAGATTGGTGGGTGGAGGGGGGCAGGTCCTGACCTTGGCCAGACTTGCCCTACAGCCCGCGTCATTCACCACCACCGTCCCTGATTCCTGACCTCGGTTTCCCATTGGAACCATCAGAGGCCCTGTTCCTTCCAAGATCTGGAGTCAGAATCACTAGGCATCCGGATTGTAAAACATGTCTGGTGGAGTTCGGAAGGACAGCAGGAGTCGAGAGCCAGCGCTGTGCTGCTAGGCTTGCCAGGACTGCCACCCAGGGTGATGCCCCTCCACACCACGCCTCGCTCCAATGGCCAGATACACAGTGTACACACACATCTGAGTACGACACCCACGTGCACGGACATGCCCTCACATGCCCCACTTCCCTCCATAGCTGCATACACACCCACCTACAGATGCACTTTCCATACATGTGGGCATTCACACGTGCACACACACAAGCTCCCGGGCAAAGTCAGCCCTTCTTTGCTGTCCTGTTTAACATTCTCCCATTTCCTCCTGATTCCCCGCTCTGGTGACTCTTGCCCCCCTGCACAGGCCTCAGAAACCCTGCAGAGGAAGAGGGTAGAGGGATGGGAAGGTGGGGGGGTATCCTCGGGCCTTTCCTTGCTCTGGGTGCCGGGAATCCAAAACCGTATCCAGAGGTGAGGTTGGCAAGGGAAGCAAGAGCTGAGCACCTGCCTGGCAGGGCTGTGGGCAGGGGGATTCCCACCCTGCCTCCCTCTGTTGTCTGGGAAGGTGTCAGACCAGGTCCTGGCCCCTTGGCAGTTGCCTTCGGGCACCCTGGTCTGAGGACCCTGGAGACGGCTCATCTCCTTGCCTCAGATGGAGGGAGGGGTGCTGAGGAGCCCAGCTCTGCTCCTCTGACCATCGGGGGTTCCCTGTGCAGCCAGGCTCCCCATGTTGGCAGCTCCTCTCGCTCCAGTGGGCCCGGGCACAGATGGCCAGGGCTGGGGCTAGGGAGCGCCCCACCTTCTGGGTCAGCCCAAGTTGGATGTAGGATTGGGAGGCAGCGAGGACCCGAGAAGGCCTGGCCAGTGGAGACCCAGGACCAATGCGTACTGGCTGTGGCCTCGCGGGGGCCTGGGAGGGAAGGGAGGTGGAGTCTGAGGTGGTTAGAACTCCAGGGCGGACTCCTTCTCCCATGGAGCTCTTTGAGGGGGGAAAGAAATGCCCATTGACCTTGGCAGGAGGTCAAGGCAGAGGCTGAGCCCTCCGAAGCAGGCCTGGGAGATGTTGGTCCTTCAGTTCCAGGACAGCTGAGTTTCCGGCCCCCCTCTCTGCCCTCCCCTCCATCTGCAGCCTCCCCCTTCCCTCATGCAAGCTGAGCGTCTCAGGATGAGGACTCAGGCTCTCCTGCTTTGCTTCATCTCATCTCACTTCTTGCCCTTCCTCCATCCCTCAGCAAGATATAGGGGTTCCTGGAGGGAGCCTCCCAGAGTTTAGTGGTATTCTGCGGTCTCCTAGTGTCAGGGACCCTCCAGAGGAACTCTTAGATATGATGGGCATGTTCCATGGTCTATGCTTTTGGAGGTGGCTATTGAGCCCTTGAAACATGGCTTGTGCTACTGAGGGCATCATTTGTTAATCCAACTGAATCCTAGGTCAGCAGTCCCTCTGTGGGTATTGCTACCTTACTGAACAGCACGGCCTTAGAAGCTACAGCTCCAAGCTGATAGTGTGGGGATCTGGTTATGCTATTATCTTGCTGTGTGATCCAGAGTAATCCACTCACCCTCTCTGGGTCAGTCTTCTTTTATCTACCATGTGACAAAGACATATTCCTCCTTCCTTGTCTCCAAGGGAAGGTAAGATCCACAAATGCAAAAATTTTAGCAAGGAAATGGTCTCGGGAATCTAGATGCTACAGCAGTGTAGAGGCAATTATCTTGTGTAGTCATTGCCCCGAACACAGCAATGATTTAATGATATAATGATCCTTTTGGAGCCTGGGCAGCCCCTCTTACCTGGGGAAGCAACAAGGGCCATGGTGACCAGCAGCAGCAGCAGCAGATGTGGCTTCCTCCCGGCCAATGTCTCCATGGTAGGCATCGCGGATAGAGGAGGGGATCAGAGGACAGGAGCCTCAGCCCAGCTCAGGGAGGGTCTGGCTGGAGGCACAGGAGCACCTGGGGAGGCAGGAGAAGGAGGGCTCTGAGCGCCCGCCCAGCACAGGCTCATCTGGCCAGTCCTGCTTCCCACCCGCCTGAGTCCTGCAGGATTGCACAGGCTCTCATCCTCCCGGAGCCCCAGGGGAAGGGGCTTGGCCATTACCAAAGCGCTCTTCCTGGGGCTGAGTGCCTCCAACCGTCCCCTGGGAGTCTGGCTTTGCTCTGTGCCCCCACCTGCCCCCCTCCAGCCAGCAGGGGGCTGCTCAGGAAGTGAAAGCAGTAGCTAATTAGGAGACAGGAACCCACCTGCCCGCATGCAGGCGCTGGCTCCTGATGCAGGATCAGGAGGAGAACAGCACCTGTCTCCCGGTTGGGGGACCAGCACATCTTCCCCTGGCAATTGGGGATGGGGCCGACTCTCCCCTGCTGACCCCACATCTACCTGGGGGCTAACAAGCCCCTCTGGGAGCTGCATTAAGTCTCTCGGGACCAGCCTTGTTTTTCTAGTGGTGAGACGGGGTCTCATGATTTATCTATGACCCCTCACCGGGGCTCCAGGTAAGGCACTTTATGCTTTGTCTGATGGAGTCATGACCTTGGACCCATTAGCCACACTCTGACCCCAGAGGCTTTCTGGGCTCAAAGAGTTAACGCAACTCCCGGGAGGAGGTCTCTTACACAGAGGTGTCAGAACCACTCTTACACAGAGGTCCCAAGAAACTACCCACTGTAGGTCACTGAGGACAAGCCAGAGACTCGACCCTTCAGCCTGAGAGCTGAGACTTCATCTTGAGGGGCAGGGGCAGGGGCAGGGGCAGAATCAACCTCCTTGTCCACTTCTTGTGTCCAGGAGGACATCTGAGATCTGAAGGGTCCAGGGACTCTTGGGAGCCTGCCTGCCAGTAATTGCAGTCAGACTGAGCTACTGACCCCCACAGTGCCCACCCAGCGCTGCACATCTGCCCCACCTGCCTGCCCTGCAGAAAACCAAAAAACAGGGCCAGGCACGATGGTGCACGCCTGTAATCCCAGCAACTTGGGAGGCTGAGGCAGAAGGATCGCAAGTTTGAGACCATCCTCAGCAACTTAGTGAGACCCTGTCTCAAAATAAAAAAATTAGAAAAAAGGGCTGGGGATGTGGCTCAGTGGTTAAGTGTCCCTGGTGTCAATCCTTGGTACCAAAACCAAACACACAAACAAAAACAACCACCAGCACAACAAAACCAACCAAACAAAGAGCAGGGCAGGGGGCCTGAGGCTGGAGGCTTCTCCACTAACTGGCTGCAAGACCCTTGCCATCTCTGGATCTGTGACCTCCTCTGTAAAATGGGTGCTAAGGTCCCTTCAGCACTGGTACTCTGTTGTTCCTGGAGATTACAGGCAACTGAGGTCCGGGAGGTGCTCCCTTTTGGGTGTGGGTGGGGTGGGGGAGCTGCAGGCTGCACTGGGCAGTGCCGGGCCTGAGGACGGGCACCCCCCTGCCCCACTTCACACTCCATCTCCTTGGAGAGAGCCCCGCCCCTCCTCACATAGTCACCATAACACTGACACCTTTTCCACAGCCACAGCTGGCACCTGAAGGAGCTCTGGGAGTGAGCGGAGAAATGGCCCCAGGGTCTGTCAGGGTGGATGTGGCAGGAATCCTGTGCGGAGCCGAGAAATGGGGTGTTTGGGTATGCATGCAGGGAGCAGATGGCATCCCTCCCCACCCCAACTCCAGCTTCATACCCACTTCCTGCTGTTAGGGAGGGGGCCTGCTCCTCCCCGTCCTTGCCACTCAGTTCTAGTCTTGAACTCCGACTGTTGGCACTGCCAGCCCCGCTGACACTACCCAGCACTATCTCTCCCCCTTGTGGTGCCCTTCCGCAGAGAGGCTCCCCCTCCTACCAGGCCCCGTGCCCATCTCATTCTTGCTAGGAATCCCCCAGATGCCCCATCAGCTCAGTCAGAATTCAGCTCTGACCTCGACTCCCTGGTGTCCCACCCATGGAGCTGTTTGTCTCCATTAGAGGGCTGTGCGCTCCCCAAGGAGAGAGACCGTGTCACGTTCATCTTGGTATCACTGAGCCTGGCCCATAATAGGTGTCACTGTGTGTCACATTTAACTGATGGAGAACAACTGTGCTTACATGTCTCCAGGAGCCAGCGACACACACGCGCACACTCATATAACAGAGGTCAATATATATCTGAGCAGGCTGATAGGACTTCAGCGCTCTCTGGGCAATCCCAGGGCAAACTGGCCCATGCTGGTGCACACATACGTGCCCAGGTCTCTAAGGCTGGCAGCTGTCTGGTCATGAGGAAATCTCGAAAGTGTGTTCCTGGATGTTATGCAGATACAGGGAGTTGCCCTCAGAATAGGGAGCCTTTGGGGCAGTATGGAACCTTCCAGGGTTTGGAATATAATAGACAGGGGTTGGTAATACTGACTTCATGTCTTAACAGCTCTGTGAACTTGGACAGGTTATTCTCCCTCTTGGAGTCTCAGTTTGCTCATCTGCAAAGCGGAGCTGACACCATGCGCTCCACAGAGCCAATCAGCAGAGTGTCCTGCAGCGCCTCTCAAGCTGCCAGGAAGCCTCAGGCCACAGTGGGAAGAGACAGAGACCTGCTGGGGCACCGGACCGCTTCCCCACCTCTGCAAGAACATCCCCACTAGTGTCTGCTTCATCTACTGGACTTTCCCAGGAGGTTCCCTTGTAGAAAACCTCCTCTGGAGAGTTTGAAAATCACCCCCTTGGCACTGGGGAGCCACGAGCTGGCGTCTGGCACAGAGAAGGTGCTCAATCATCGTTGGCTCCCACCCTTTGTCGGCTTGCCAGGCCTGGGAACTCAGGGAGGGGCAGGGGCTGGCCTGGGCGGAGTCTGGGCTGAAGGCACTTATCCTGAATGTGCCAGAGCAAGGCAGAGGCGGATGTCACCATGATCACCCCCACCCTGCAGAATGACCTGTTGTCTGGATTACCATAGGTAATTACTGTAGATCATGGATAGTCCAATCCCACTGTCCACCTTAAACTTCAACTTTATCCAGACTTTTATCAGCCATCTCCCCAGCCCAAGACCCTGAGTCCCCTCTGGAAACAGACCTGCAGCCTTAGAGGAGATATGTAGGGGATCTAGGAGGACCTGGGGTTGCCTATGGGGAGCACTAGACACCTGTCAGCCTCATCAGATAAATATTGAGCTCCACTCTGTGCCAAGGTCTTGAGTAAATGAACACACATGCACACGTGGGCGCGCGCGCACACACACACACACACACACTCAGAACTGGGCTAAAGATTGGAGCTTATTGCCTCCCTGAAGGTGAGATGATTGGCACCTAGTGTTGCCCTGCATGCCTTTCCATTCCAGCTTCTTAACCATGGTGAGGCATCATGTGACGCACAGGGGAGACCATATTAAAGACACAGCCTTGCTGGGCACGGTGGCACATGCCTGTAATCCTAGCGGCTTGGGAGGCTGAGGCAGGAGGATCACAAGTTGAAAGTCAACCTCAGCAAGGGTGAGGCACTATGCGACTCAGTGAGACCCTGTCTCTAATTAACATACAAAAAAGGGCTGGGGATGTGGCTCAGTGGTTGAGTGCCCCTGAGTTCAATCCCCTTTAAACCCCACACCCTTAAAAAAAAAAAGAAACAGCCTTCATGGAACTCCCCTGACCAACCGAGAGCACCCATAAGGGCTCCCAGGTCCATAGGCCAGTCATGTCCCCACATCATCTATCCTATGACATATTCTAGAATATCTAGGATGGAGGAGGCCTTTTTGTCAAGAGCAAGGCTGGAGTGGAGCTATGCCAGGCCCGGAGCTGGCCTTGCCAGCTCTGAGTCAGTGGACTCTTGCCCAGGCCAGCTGCCCTGGTGCAGGGGTGCAGGCACAGGCTGGCACAGGCGGGCACAGGCTGTCACTTGGGGGCTGGTCCTATGAGGGACCAGTGTATGGGGAATGGGCCACTTGGGGGTTCAAGGGCACCAGGGGAAGCTGGCTGCAGTTCTGAGCCCAGGAAACAAAGGGCTTGGGGACAGCTGGGGGACAGAAGGCTGTGAGATGGTCTCTAGGACACAACAGGGTTTCCTGGGCTAAGGACCCCTGCATGGAGCTTGCAAAAATGACAGATAACTCCCCCAAATGCTGCACTGGGATGCTCCCCTCTTTGGCCCTCGACCTATCTCTTCTTGCCCTGGATAATGGGGACCGGTGCATTAAGAACTATGGCAACTTTAGATGGTGGGATAGGAAAAGAGAAGTTAGAGCCCATTTGAGGGGACAGACTGATTACTGTCAGCCTTCAAACTACTGTAGGCACCCCTAAGGTCCCTCCCCAGCCTCCACCGTGTTGCACACCACAGGGCAGGTGAGTCAGTGTTCTAGTGCTTACTAGTCAGCATAATCCCAGTGTAGCTAACTAGTGTAACTGGGGTTATCACCCTCATTCCTTAACCTCTCTAAGCCTCAGTCTTCCATCTGCAAAATGGGGAGGAGAGGGAAGTCTCCAGCACAGGGACTATGAAGCATTCAGAGCCACACCGGGGGCCATCGCCAGCTCTCAGGAAAGATCAGGCATTCTGTGAACCCTCCAGAACTCATGTCTGCAGTCAGACTCAAACCACCACCGCCTCCAGGCTGTCCTCCATGTGTGAGGACACTGACAAGCCCACCCTCTCCCTGGTAGGAGTCTTCCTCCTCTTAATCCCATAGGTATAGGGACCCAGGGAGCACCAGCAGCCACCTCAGATTAGGGCACAAGGATGCTCCATGGCTGAGATACCCTGGCACTGTGTGCAGAGGAGGAACATGGCAGGGGCACCATGGAGCCCTTCAGAGCGGATCCTCCTTCTCAAGGACCCCAGCTCTTGCTTTAGGGGCCTGAAGGTCAGAGATCACCACCATGTCCCCTGCCTAGGATTGGAGTTGCCACCTGGGACAGAACCATCCTCTTCCAGGAAGGTCTCCATCACTTACACGCCCCTCTGGAAGGACATGGCTCTGTGGGAGTCTGGTGGGTGCTGTCGGGGTGCTTGGCCTGCCAGGTCAGGGAAGGGCATGGTCAAGAGGTCTCTGTGGTGGCCTGAGCTGGTCTCCTGGGCTGGAGAGGTTCTCAGAGCAGATATGGGTGGGACAGGGACTGCCTCGACATCAAGTGGGGGCTGGAGGGGCAGCGTGCTCACCCCCCCCACCCCCCGCCGGCCCTTAGTTTTGTGTTCGTAGGAGGTTCCCTGAAGTGCTGATGTGCCTTTTGGGGACACTGTGACTCCCAGGCACACAGATTTGTCTGAAATTTCAGCATTGGGCATGGGGCAGTCTGGTGCCCGGTCTGCGGCCTATGGTTTGGGTTCTCCTGTGCCCGTCTCTCCAGTGGACGGGGAGCGGGGGAACAATCCAGGAGGAAGCTCGGGAGTAGGAGGAGCAAGCCACCCCGAGACCTGCTGTCTCCTACCTGCCTGCCTGGCTCTAGTGAGTCAGGGCTCTGATACGAGGAGTTCCCCCTTCTTTATGGGGGCAGGGGTTGGCAATCGAGGCCTCACACGTGCTAGCCAAGGGCTCTACCACTGAGCTACACCCTGGCCCCAGAAGGATCCCTCTCTAAGGTTCTAGGAGTAAGAACAATAATTTCAATTTGTTTCTAAAAAAAAACAAATCAGCAGGGAAAAGTCCCTCCTGCATTCATGGAACAATTTCTGCATATCCCCCCTCTCTGCTGAGAGGAGACCCCCCATTTCCCAGCCAGTTTCCCATAGGCTGGTTCACAGCAGAAGCTTGGGGTGCACAGGGCAGGAAGGCTGCCCCCCTCCCACTGGACGCAAGGTAGGGAAACCTCGTGGTCCTTGAGGTTGGCGGAGACTGAGAGGGCATGGGCTCCAAGACTGAGAGGACATGGGCTCCAGCTGACGGAGAGCAGCAGGTCTCACCTGGAGGGTGCACTGTGTGAGGGGTGGGGTTGGCACGCACCTCTAAGTGAGGGACTAAGTGGCTCCTTAGAGGAGGACCTTGAGGTGCATTTGGGTGTGTGCTAGGGTGGGAAGGGCTCAGGTCTGCAGTGAGGACATTACACACCCTTGCTTTTGTTTGCCACCTCTTTGGTAAACAAAGAAACAAGGGCTAATTTTGTAGCAAGGACTAATCCCAACAAAGAACGGACCTCTTCACTCCAGGGTGCTAACATCAGCGCAGGGGTCCACGTGTCCCAAGAATGGTCCAGGTTAGTAATATCCCCTGGGGGGCTTGGATTAGGGGTCGCAGTCCTCTTACAGGCTGGGAAATGGCCAGTGTGAAGGAGAAAAAAAAACATGTGGTCTGTCTTATGGATTCCTGAATCATAACTGCCATTTACCATTTGAGACTGGAAGAAATTTACTGGGTCACTTCACCCCTCACCGCCTCTAGGCAAGACTGTCTTTAACTTTGGACCACGCCCCAGTTCTTCAGGCCATCTTTAGAGCCATCTGAAACGAGACTGCCCAGTGAGTGGCCCATCTTCCTACTTAGGCAGTATCTCCTGCAGTCTAACTTATATCCCTCCTGCCTTATTCTTTGCTCTGGCTCTTTCTTGTGTATTGATCAACTATCTCTTTTCCCCCTACCCACTGGCTGTGTCTTAGGAATTCCTCCCCAGACACCCACATCCAGGTTGAAGACTGTCTTTGAAATACACTTTCTTATCAATATTTGGCTTGAAAAGGTTGCTAGTGGTTTGTATCCTCCAAACCACCCTGAAATGTATTGCTGATGGGGTCAGAGCAGAGAGGATACCTTGGGGTACTCATTTCTGCATACTCGTCCCTGCAGAGTAAGCTTGGTCAGCCAAAGGCAGTGTGTGCAACCGTCCCATTGAACACAGTTGCATGGAGCCCATTCCACACTTGTTCCCATTTGAACAACTGCTGGCGGAGGAGATTCTGGAGGGGGGTTGCATAAGGAGAGGAAGCCGGGAGGGGAGCCTTGTGGGGAGGCTGAGGGCTGGGTGCAGGTGCTACAAGGGGGGAGCTGCCCAGTGGGGAGGTGGGGAGCAGAGGAAGGAAGGAGAGTAAGAGAGAGCACCCGGAAGAGTAGGCTCCTCGGTGCCCAGCCCCTTCTCATCAGGACGCACCACTGTGACCCTGGAAGCTCGTGAAGAGCAGGAGAAGAACAGCAGTTTCTATATGAGGCAGGCGACTTGGGTGACTTTGATACCATCAGTTCAGGGGCCCCTGTCTGTCTCACCTCCTGCCTCCACCACTGGCTAAGGACTTCCTCAGGATCTTAGGCAGGACTTTGACCTTGTGGCGGAAGACTTGTAAGTGGTTCCTGCTGAGCCTGGCTAGAAAGGGGTTAAGTGGTGGGCACCCTGGGGAGGGGCTTGGACATAATGTCTCTGAGGGCAAAACTCACTCTGCCAAGGCCAGGAGAGAGGGCACCTGTTCTGACTTCCGGGCCTTTGCCCCACCCCACCCCCATGGAGCCATGGCCATCTCAGCCTCTCTTACAGGTGGCCCACTCTTTGCTGCCCTTGATCTCTAGCAGCTTGTCCAGTGTCTCTGAGTTAGGCTGGGGATAAGTTGGCAGACAGACTCAGGGGCTGCCTGGACTGAGGGGCTTTCTGGCCAGAGGCTTGGCAGAGGAGGCGGAAGCTGCCATCTGCAACTGCGCTCAGGTGCTCAGGGATGGACCAGGCTACTTGCTCTGTTCTCCCTCCTGGGCAGAGGGAAAAGATGTCCCAGCCCATCTGTGTCCAGGGCTGGGGCCATGATAGGCACAACCCACTCTGTGCTGACCACACTGGATTCCCAAACCTCTAGACAACCTTGACTGAGAGCTTCTCCCCCAGGGACACGGGCTCGGCTCCCCTGGTCCAGTGATCTGATGCCCCCTCTGACTGGGCAGCTCCTTCCCCAGGCACTGCCTCATGATCCCCCCGGCTTCCCAGAGCACAAAGTCCCTCTTGGAGAAGAGGACAAGACTCAGTTCGGGACACTTACTGGTCGGAGCTGCTTCCCCACCTCCGGCCCATTATATAAGCCCGAGGTGCAGGACAGAGGGATCCCCCTGTTTTCAGAATCCCCTGGAAAGGAAAACTTCCAGCAAGTCTTTCGTTCCTACCAGCCAGAATGAGGGGGAGGGATCTGAGGAGAAGACAAGGTTGAGCAGGGGGAGGGGAAGGAAAGGAATTTCAGTCCCCATCATCCCAGTTGCTCACCCTTGGGGTGTAACTTGCCTGGGTTTCTCCTCCCTGAGTCCCCACTCGTGGACAGGCCTTTTCCCAAACTTGTGCTCTCCTCTGTCTCCGGTCTCTTCCCCAGCTTCCCCCCTGTCCAACTGAAGCAGGACTTTGCAAAGAGGTCACCCTGTAAAGGCGGCCCCCCAGGTGACCGGGAATCTGGGAACCCAGGCTCAGTTCCACCCAGGTGCTTCTAAGGGCAGGCCAGAGCCTGGAGCCTGGCCTCAGGACCTGTACAACACTAGATCAGGGGGCCCAGGGCAGGCCCAAGAGCCACTGCCCTGTCAGCTGGATTTGTGACTGCCAGCAGGCCAGCTCAAATTCCTGGACTTGCTCCTGGGGTCCGGCTTCCTGGGCCGGCTTGGCCTGCCAGGCCCCTGAAGGATGCCACCCACGTAGACAGGGCGGAGGAGAACCTCTGTCCATTGGCCACTGTGGAGCTGGGCTGAGAAGTCAAGACTGGCCCGGCCGGCCGGGTGTCCCTGTCCCCTTTCAAGTTACAAGGGGCATATTCACAAGGGTTGAGCATGGTGCCCCTGCTGTAGCAGGGTCCGAGGAAGCCCCTGGACTGGGGCAGACAAAAGCTGGGGGCACCTACCTGGGGTGAAGCACGGGTGTTGGCTGGAGCCGGCGGACGCTGCCCGGGTCGGTGAGCCGGCCGGCCCCGCGGCCAGCCCCTCGGCCGGCTCCCCTCGGCCCCTGCCGGCCTCGGCCGCTTGCTGTCCTGCTGCTGCGGCGGCCGCGGCGGTGGCGGCGGTGGCGGGTGAGGGCGCGTGTGTGTGTGCGCGCCCGCCGGAGCCACTGCAGCATCTCTGCATCAAGATGTGCTCCTCCCTCCCCCAGGCTCCGCTCACTGGCTGGCTCCGGTCCTCAGCCAACGCTCGGGGCCCTGGAGATGGCTTCCTTGGCCCCCCTCCCGCCCCCTTCCGTCCCCACCCTCCTGGCTTTACCTCATTTGCTGTCATTTAAGGACCAGGGAGCCAGCCGATCGCCAGTCTTCCATAATGCATGGGCAGCTCCTCGCGGGCCGGTGCTGTCTGGCTTGCCTACCCCTCTCTCCCCACCCCGAGCTTAAGGGGCCAGAGAGGGGTGAGGCCAGGAGGGACAAAGAAAGTGGCTCTTGCTCCTCAAACCCTGGACACCCATGGAGCCCAAACTTCTGGTTTCCTCCAGAAATTTCCTATTAGAGGAAAAGATCCAAATCAGAAATGCCCAGTCTGCTGTGTGTGGTACCAGTGAGATGGAGAGGGTCCGGCTTGGGTGCCCACCCACATGGCCTTCATCTTCCCTGCATCCCTTGCTCCAAAGTAGCACAGGTTCCTTCTTATAAAAATATCCCAACCTTAAATTTAAAAATAGATAGTGCAAGTCCCTTAACCACCACCCTCAAAAAATTTGAGAACCTGCCTCAAATTTTCATGTGTAGGATGATGTGGATCATTAGTACTATTTTATGAAGATGAGGATCACACCCTAGATCATGATTTGCAGAATATTTTTTTAACTACATAATTGATCCTGGACACCTTTGCCCGTTGGTACATATGGATCCAAGCCCATTGTTACTTAACCAGCCGTGTGATGTCACGAAAAACTCACTGGATTTGGTGTGTGGATGTCTCAAGGGTACTCTGGACTCTGCTACTGATTGGCTGTGTGTGTTTGGCTAAGTGCCTTGCCTTCTCTGAGCCTCACTGGGGTTAAAGATGGCTAAGGTCCCTGCCAGCTCTGAGATTCTGGGTGCTCACCCTGGTCAGTGATGCATCTCTTCTGCCCAGATCCTGTCATGTGGGGATGTGCCTGGAAGGCTGGGGCCTGGAGGCAGAGGGACCAGCCATCTGTAGCACCAGTCAGTCCCTGTCAGGCTGTCACTGTTGTCCCACCCCCCTCTGGTCTGCCTGCTGTCCAGTTCGCACAGGCAAGACTGATGACGGGTCCAGATGCTGCAACAGCTGGCAGGGCTGGCAGGCCGTGGAGTTTTAAATGCCATACCTGTCAAGTGTGGAGCATGACTCTGTGTCTTCTTGAGTGACCGGGACCTGGGGGCCTGTGCAGGAGTGAGAGGGCTTGGAAAGGAGAAGGAGCGGGGAGGCTCTGCTGTCCAGCCTCCATGGCCCAAATGCCTGCTCAGTTCCCACGGGCGCCCCTCCCTTCCTTAAGCTCCCCTCCTAGGGCTCCTGCCACTCCATCCTTGTCCTGATGCGGAGATTTCTGGTTTTGCTAACGATGTTTCTTGGATAACTTGCTGCATAAAGACAGGCACGTCCATCCCCTTCCGGGATGCCCTTCCCCTTCCTGCCCCTGCCCACATGGTCTTGTCTGTCTGTCTCTCTGGGGACCGTCAAGCTTGACCTAAGCTCCTGCGGTGAGCCTTGCCCCTGGTGTCTCCCAGGTCAGCCCAGCCCTGCAGAGGCTCTGAGAGGTGTCTATCTCCCAGGGGAAAGAGTAGGAGCAGGTCCCTGCCCAGGCAGGGGATGATGTCGCTGCTGTGGGGTGGATGAGCTGGGAGATTGGCTGGCCCTGGAGCCAAGGGTCAGGAAATGCTTGCGAGGATCACTGTAGACAGAGACAGCTGTCTCTGTGACTATTTTAGGACAGCTGCTGCCCTTGTGCTGGGGGGCGGGGCTGGGTTCCTGGGGAGGACTATTAGCACAGGTAGCTCTGATCTCAAAGGCTCTCTCAGATCCCCATGCAACTAGCCTGCCCCACCCCAGGTGGATTCTGAGGGGCACAATGAGTAAGAACAAGAATATTTACCCAACTAGACCTGGAGTTGAAAAGATAGTTCCCCAATTTTGTCTTCCCGTGTGTGTGGAGTTCTCATCTGAACCTGGTCCAGATGAACTTGGGGGGTTCTGGGGACTTTCAGGGCCAGCCTCTGAGATGCTCCTGTTCTCAGATCGTGGGGTAGATGCTTAGAGGTCCAGGCTGGGTTATGCTTGTGGGGGTCATTATTTTGATAATAACAGAAGTAAGATCTGTTTTGAACATCTCCAAAAATTGAGGAGCCAAGCTAAGTTTTTACCTAAACCATTCATTCACCCAAGAGGTATGTGTGGTTATTATTATTATCCTCATTCTACAGAGGAGGTTCTGTGTCAGTCAGGAACTTGCTTGAAGTAAACACTGAACCTTTAAATGCCATACCTGTCAAGTATGGAGCAGCAGTGCCCAGAGGTCAACTCCAGCCTCCTGTCTTAACTCTGTGCTGTGGGTGCCAAATGGCCACTACCGCTCTTCTTGGAGGGTGGGACAGAGAATAGAAAATGATCTGGTTTTCTCTTCTTTTTGGTGGCTACCAGAGCCTGGAATCCTCAGTGTGACTAACCATCAGGGGCAACTCCACTTTATCCAGAGCTGGGACACCCGATCTCCATGTTGAGTCCCCAGGGACCCCCAAACAGGGCAAAGAAAGACCAGCCGAAGGTGATCAGGTGGCTAATAAAATGGACCACTATTTTGCCTGTAAACATGTTGTTTCCCCTGGGGAAGATCAGAAGGCATTTTGAGGACCCCCCGACCCTTCCTGGACCATCTGCTTCTCCCTGTGGCAGCTCCACCAGATCAATAACGACAGAGTCTAGAGGACTCTCAGTCCCAGGGAACAAGTGGTGTGGGGAGGACATCCCGCCTTCATCCCCCGGTGCTGGTGGCTTTGTGATCTCCTTCCACACTTGTCCTCGTCTGCACTTTTCTTTTTCTGACTCTCCAGCCACCAGCATTGTCATCTCTGGTTTTGGACTCCATGCCCTTCGGAGTTCCCCTGAGGACCAGGTGTCTATGGAACAATATCTCTGCCTCGAATGGGAGGGGAGTCAGAAGCCAGAGGACGTGGTCTGTCCTCACAGTGCCTGTAAACATGTCCAAGCAGTCTCACGGTGGTAAGGGAAAGTCGGCCTGCAATTCAGGGACAAATGAGGTGGCAGTTAGGCAACGCTCTGAAGACGGACCAACTTGGCACCCAGTCCTGCTATTGAGGAGCTCTGTGGCCATAGACAAATGGCCTCCCTCCTCATTAAGAAAATGGGGATGAAGACACACACCTCACTGAGCTTTGAATTACATGTGAAGAATCCAGCATGATAAGTGCTCTATAAATGTTGGTGCCTCCCTCTTGGCCTTTTGGGATTGGCACCCCCATCTGTAGAATCAGGGTGTGCTCCCGTGAGCCTGAGCCCTTTCTGCTCTTCCTCTGGCTGATGCAATGTTTGGAGGACAGACTGCACCACTCTGTTGCTTCTACCTGAATGACAAGGGGCAGGTCATTAATGACTCACTCTCTCTCTCTTTTTAAAAAAAAATTTTTTTTTAGTTGTAGATGAACACAAGACCTTTATTTTATGTTTATATTTGTTTATTTATTTATTTATTTATTTATTTTTATGTAGTGCTGGAAATCGAACCCAGTGCCTCATGCATGGGCAAGTGCTCTACCCTGGCCCCACTGATGACTCTTGATTGCTCTGAGAATCCATTTCTTCATCAGTAAAATGGGAATAATCCTATTGCTACTTGGGATGGTAGTGAGATATGTGGGTTAAACATATGATGTTTATTTTATTTTAAAAAAATTTTATTTTTGGTTTGAGGATTGAACCCAGGAGCACTTAACCACTAAGCCACATCCCCAGCCCCTTTTCATATTTTGTTTAGAGACAAGGGTCTCGTGGAGTTATTTAAGGATTCCCTAAATTGCTGAGGCTGGCTTTGAACTCGTGATCTTCCTGCCTCAGCCTCCAGAGCTGCTGGGGTTACAGGAGTGCATTACTGTGCCCAGCTAAAACACACGATTTTTAAAAGTACTTTGTGAATTGTCACCTTGCTAGCTGTCATACAGAACATCCATTATCATTCCCATAATCATGCAACCCTGGAGGCCCGGTAAGCTCAGCGAAGCCCATATTTTTCTAGTGCCCCTCCTCCTGCTTGGCACAGCCCCTGGCACATGGAAGAGACTCAGTAGATCTTTGTTGACTAGGTGAATGAGTGGAGGTGAGTGAGTATGGTGACGGTTTAGAGGGTGGGGAGGCAGGGGGCTAGCTGGCGTGGGAGGTGTTCAGTGGAGGCGGGGTGAGGCGCATCTGGAATTGGCCAAAGAGAAGGAGGGGTGTGGAGCATGTACTCCTGGCCTGAGGGCATAGGCAGTGACAGAAGCCAGGACTTGGGGCCTGAGAAGAGCATGATTTATGCAGGGTCCAGAGGAGCCAGGCTGACCCATGCAGGGCCCCGGAAGTGATAGTGCAATATCCCATCCGCAGTTGCCCTCCTCATTTCACTTGAGGGCCTGGAGGGGTCTGTGGCTTGGAGGGGACTAATTATTCTCTTTGCCATTTCAACCCAGGGCTCTTGGAGCTTCTTTTCAGGCTTATAACAGACAATGCTAATGCCATTATTAATATTTAATAGTAATGATGCTAATAATGCCCATTTATGTGGTCTCTCCACAGAGCTCAAAGAACCCTGAGTCCTTTTTTAATGAAACAATTTGGCTAGTGTAGGTGGTGGAAGGGTGGGAGGGTAGGGCAGTGGGGAGAAATGGAGGTGCAGGGAACTCGAAGCCCAACAAGTAAAAAGACTGCACCAGGTCTCGGAGCAGGGGAGGTGCACACAGAACTAGGATGGGGTGCTTGGATTCTCTGTCTGAGCTCTGCCCTTGACTCCCCCAGGAGATCCTTGGTAGGGGCACTTTTTGGAGCACAAGG